TTTTGAAGCACAATAATTATCTGTGTTTCTCATCATGCGATAATAATAATAATAATAATAATAATAATAATAATGAAAACGGCAAAAACATTTCCATATCTACTAAAGAGAATTGCCACTTAAAGCAGTGTCCTTTGTATGATTCCCACTCTATCATTACCATGTGTTTATTGAACACTGTCAAATAGTCATGATACCAGGCGTTCGCGAAAGGTTGAGCGTTTCCTGCTTCATTGGTAGCACCGTCAAAAACACATGCAAATCCAAGTCAATGCTTCACCCGAACAACCCCGGTAACAAAAGGTGAAAGTCAAAATGAGGAATTGCATCGGGCATCATTTTGGTCATTGATGCATCAAATGTTTAAATGTCCTGCCGTTATCTACCAGAAAAAGTTTTGAACGATCTAAGGGGACGTTCAATACTGTAACCCTGTTCAAACAACTTTTGAGCATGTGTCGGATGGCTTTCCTTGAAATCTTCGCAGAAAGTGCTTGTTCGATTGCACCTCAACAAAAATGTAGACAGAAGGGCTCTTCTCACAACGTGTCTCATACTCACGAAATACTTACATGAATGTTGTTTGCATGATCTGGTGTGAGGTCATCTGGTTCTTATTTCGCGACCAACCAATGGAATGACTAACAAGATGTCGACAACAGCCAATCAGAAGACAGCTTAATTGAGCTTTACGGCACGAGTTTACTGGCGACTGCACTTGGAAACATATGTTGACATGAACTCGATTAGAAAATAAAAAACTGAACAAAAGAACACTCTGGGATGGCTGATAGATGGTCTAGATTTTATGAATACAGACATAAAGCCCATAACTGTCGTTGGGAATACCCTGTGTGTGTTTTTTTCGCGGTTGTACGATCAAACATAAGTAAGTAAGTAAGTAAAACCGGAAAGTGTTTGGACGTATGAAGTAAAGGGTTCGCCAATTCTCCGAAACACGCTGTGCATTGAAATAGTACAGCGAGCACTGCACCTCATCTATTTGGATATCGTCAAGTGATGTCCCTCCCGGAAAAAAACAAATTTTGTGCGTAATGTACGTAGCATCCCATCATGAGTCATGACTTTCTGGGCATCAAAGTGGTGTTTGCCACCACCCCTACGCTCGGACATGAGTTGAAATCGTCCTTTTGTGTGATGCTTCCAGCCCAGTTCCACTTTCCTTGTGGCCCCACATTTGGCATTGCCAGTCCTCCTCCTCTTCCTCCGCTCCATGAAGGTTGTCAGTATGGATGATCTACCACCTGTAATGCAATGTATGATATTTCCGAATATATATGTGCAACTGACACCAATACGTTATGTTGGAAGGGGGAATATTAAGAAGAAGAAGCCAGTGCACACATACGAAACTTTATGTGCCTCAATCACACCTCATTACAATTAAATTATATTTCAAATTCGATTAAGGTTATTAATAAGTCTGTCTGTTAACTGTGGTACTCGATGGTTCAACACTTTCATTTCCCATTTAAAACCAGAGCCCCAGAGTGAAGTTTATCACCGAACAAAACAATAATCTCTGCATTACGTCTATTTGTAGGGACCACCTTTGTGGTCAAACGGGTAGAGCGTCTGGCTGGAGAGCAGAACATCAGAGGTTCGATCCCAGTCCGCGTCATACCAAAATACGTCAACGGTGGCACTTGTTACACTGCCTGGCGCTCGGCATTAAGAGGATTTCTCATTTTGCTTTATAAATCAGGAACAGTACAAGCAAACACACTTACACGCGTGCATTTAAGTTGCTAGATAATCTTGGACGCGACGCTGAACCCCATTTCACCTCACCACCTCCTGCTGTAGATACATCAACACAGATGACCTTATTTTCATGTCCCAAGATCAAACCCTAGATTACTTTATCCTACTTTATGTCGATGCAAAAATACACAAAATTGCAGTCTTAAATTGGAAGGTAGTTACAATCAAATCTGAGACCTGTCTCAAACTGACCTCTCACTGCAGCATCTACAGTTGAAAGATTCTTTTGTTTCTCCTTTGAACAACCGTTATTGTATAGTTTCAGAGTAGGATAAAGTACGAGGCCGAGGTCATGATTGGAAAAGTAAGGACCTCAGTGCGAAGTAAGTGTAAAAGTAAGACCGACCGCGAAGCACTGAGGTCCTTACTTTTCTAATCATGACCGAGGACGAGTACTTTAACATATGAACCGTCAAATGAAAAGATTACATTTTAATGATCAAATAAAACAGTATCCTTTATCCAACTACTCCCGGTCCTAACACTGCATTGTTTATACCGCGCTGGGTGGTATATCGAGGAGCATGGTCTAATAATAAAACAGCGCGCACGGCCGCACGTGCTGCACGGAATTTTCGTTACGCTGCATCACGTGTCCTGTTAGAACATTCATTTGACGGAGACACGATGGATGAGGCAGACAGCGACAGAGAACTGTTCATAACCCAGTCCAAAACCGTTGAAGCAGAGAGTGACGATGACTTATTGTTTCGTTTCAAGGAACCTGGAGAGATGTTATGTCCGCCTTTATAAAAAATACAGGCTTCTTTGGTAAGATTTCTTTTGAAAAATGGTAAACAATGAATCGTTTGTAAAATGGTTTATATTTTCATGTACAAATCAGCGTCGGTCGAAAGAAGGAATGAATGCAGTCATATGTTATCCTAGTACATCCTCGGTACATGCGTTGATAAACATTTAGAAACAGACATTCACGCGTTGTACAACTCTAACCTGTCACATTGCTATTACGCTACGACACAACTCACAATTTACACCAGAACGGCATTAATATCCCCTCTCAACACACACTAATCTGCCGGAAACGATGGCCGCTCATGTCATGCGCCAACTGCGAAAGAGCACTCGTCAGAGATTTTGGCAGAAACCATGGTGGAGCGAAAGGGACACAATTCGAATACACTGACAAGGCAGTTAACCCTGCACGTATGTCATCATTTAGGGATGAAAAAAGCAAAATTGCAATTGAAAGCTTTTATTGAAATAGTGACGTAAAGCATTAACTCACTCACTCATTTTATTGAAATAAAACAATGGAACTCCAGCAACATATTTACAAGTTGATGAAAAAACATATAAAATTACAACACACATTTCACTACATTTGCAGAATAAACGTCACCACATACGTATAGATAAGAAACATTTTAAAGCTGCATGCTCATCAAATTTCTATTATTCACAGATGTGAAAAAAAGAATCATGCCTAAACGAAAAATTCACAGGTGCAGCTGTAAAGCTCATAACGCCTATTCCACAGACCTTAGCAGTTACAGAAATATCATCTCGACGTCACCCTAAAAAATACATTGATGCACTCTTAAAACAAGGCCACCTCACTCACGATTCAAAATATATTTGTTATGGGTGTGTAGAACATGTCAAGAATGACTTTTCAGACAGTGAACAATCATTTAATGATGTAGATAAAATCACAAAGGGATTACGTGAAGGGAAACTAAACACGGAGAACATCATGTCCATCATTGCCAGTGTTGGAGACTATCTACATGAAATCATCAAAACAGAATCAGACAAAATAAAATCACAATACCGTGAAGCAGATTTTTACAATAACATCAACATCACCCATTGGTTAAGTCAACGGAATTCCCTGATACCGACTCTCATCCAACACATGACAGGTCACGATTATACAGTTCCCGATCAATTTAATGGGGTAAAAAAAACCTTCATGTCTACAATCATTGAAAACATGTGCTACATGGTGACCAGCAACATCATTGGGCCATTAGCATTTGGCAGCAACCTGCTCACGTATTTCAGGACCGGAAGTAAAGTGGCATCGGTTTTCAACAATCACACATCTCCATCTGGTTCATATACGATCAATTCACAGTGGCTAGATAGCGGGACACAACATAAACTGAAGTGTCCACCTGTTGGCTCTATCATGGCATTTTTTTTATTACAATCAAAAGATTGAACGGAATTGGCGTGTCACCTTAAATTACAAAACTAAATGCAGCATTACAACAAACATCATTTACTTAAATGACCCTGTCTCCCAAATACAATCAGTCCCACAGTTGTCACCATATGTATGGTTGTATTCAGTGAACCTAAAAGATGTTATTTCACCACTATTAGATGAAATGGCCACTGAAAGTCAACACATCATGACAAGTCTTGTTCATGACTTCCTTGAGCACAGGCTACATGAAGTTGCGAAGGGTCAGTCCCCCACACAGGATGGTACTCTGTCAGACAATGTTGATAGGGATCATCCACTCATTGACACCTGTTCATTCAAACAATCCCATGATCCCTATGCATTCATAGAAAGTCGACATGCACCCCAACAACCCACTGTCACCTTGGGCGATCCTGTGTTGACAAACCCCAACAGCTATTGCAATGTAGACAGGGTACTGCATGAGCTACATCAGCAAACTGGCACAGGAGATGTTCGCACATGGATAGCTGTTGGATGTGATGGATGTCCGTACAACATTGTGACCAATATCATAAACAAATGGTACATTTGTCCTCTGTGTCAACATGAATGTAGAGGGGGCAAGGAACAATTGACCAACCATCTGCAAAGTCAACATGACAGGAATGACATCAATGTAGACACATGCATGAAGTATCCTAATGTGTTAGTGCCTGGAATTGGGCATTATGAAATGAACGTTCCATATTTAAGTTACTATGGCATCCCTTTCTGAAACACGTGGCAATTATGACAGGGTTCCGTACACCACATGCGCTGGCCTATGCACAAGCAGCAAAGAATCAGCACATGTCTTGGCAGTTTGTGTTGATATTTCTGTATGGGACAATCGACGAATTGATCCTACCTTGTGTTCGTCAATGCATTGTCAACAACACAATGTTCAGCATTGAGGGATGTCTCCAGTGGCTATCAAATTGTAAAAATCCAAACCATATCTTTGCCTGGGAAGTTTTGAAAACATTCGTCATTCCCCTCTTCATGTCCCTCTTCATGTTTCGTGCCTCAGTTCGTAGAAACAACAGCCGTATCATATTGGCATCCAAATACATAATGACCACTTTGTTTTATGGCATGAACAATACCACGTATCAGCAGATTGAATTTCGTGAGGAAGTCCTCCGATGTTTGGCACCACCGTAGGTAACCGAATTTCTTCATCACAGTGAAGTTCTGTCTGGTCACCCGAGCAAAGGAGAAGGAGTGGATTTCGTCCTTGAGTCCTGGACAAATGTGGATACCACCAGGCCTACCAACTGAAAACGGCTGGCTCCGTAGTTGTCGCAATCTTCACAGATTAGAAAAGGTAAAAAGTATTTCACATCTGTACTAACATATGATGTAATTTTCACGCCGTTCATATACAGTGACTATGGAACGAACTGATAGTGTATAGGACTTATTTCACAAGCAATATTTCAACTCACGTGTTCATCATCCAACTAAATGACCACTGACGGACCTCTGGAATATTCCCCCGGCTTAAATATGTGAGGCGCGGACGTCGGAGTAGGCAAGCAATAGTCTGGTACAATGTCACTCTCAGGAGTAAAAGTTGTGTTTCTTAACACACTTTACTGCAATACCATTAATTAAAAACATTAACATATAATGTAATATGAATATGATGTGAACCGTCACATTTCTTACTATATGAACATGATTTATATAGAATACATACCAACTCCTGTATATAGTTACGGCTTAAAATAAGCATAAAACACATCGAAACCTATGATATACTTCATATGAAGCAATACCAGTATACAGTGGGGGTCCCGCATCCTTGCACAATAAGCAGTACATTAATTCAACAAACAACAACCACGTGATTCATGTTATGACTTTAATGATGGATTATGGACAGGACAGTAAATAGTTAGAGGTTTGAGGTCTTTGGTGGATTTAATGTGAACACCCATGCAGCAAATGTGGCACCAAAATGAACATTCGGGCTGACTTTTGTGTTCACATCCCACCCATTTGTTAAGTCTGTGATCTTCTGGGGTATATTCCTTATTACAATAGCTGCAAATTGTGACATTTTGAATTTTAGCGGATTTACAATGTCCATAAACTTTTTTAGTTGCCTTTCTCTTGGGTCTGGATGGGGCTGTCATTTTGGCGGGTGATGTTGATGGTTTTTCTTGAATGGGCGGGTCTGATGTTTCCATGGAAATGGACGGTTCCATACAACGGGAAGGTGATGTGGCAGATGTGGATGGTTGTGGTGATGATGGCTGATCAGGTGTCTGGGTGATAATGTGTGTTGGTTTGGGGATTTTGATTGTTTTCTAGTGAACAGCTTCTGCTCCATCGGGTTCCTTCATAAGACGTTATATTATTAGTTTTCCAATAACACGTGTTAAAATAGTTAAAGCATATAAAATTGATCAGGGATTCCATTCATAATAGTGTAATTAGGTATGCAATATAACCTCCATATGCCATATGTATCACAAAGTGGTTATGAATCTATATTGTAAGAAGTAACATTGGTATACATACACTATATTTTTCCTCAAAAAAGGGCGTGGCCATATAGAAAAGGGCCCCACCCCACATCCGCACAAAACTCCATGTAGACATCTGCTCCGGTGGTCGTTATGAACTCTTTGACCTGTTTGTTATAAATTGGACATACATACATGTTATACATGATAATATAAATAAATATAAGGTTTGATGTATTGTCTGTTCATTTGAAGAGTGGGGGCACGGGTGGCCCAGTTGTCTAAGGCGCCGCGATTCGCTGTGCAGAGTTGCGTCCGTTGGGCACGCCAGAAACCTATGCTTGTGGGTTCGAATCCCGGTTCTCCACAATTATGTTTCTAGGTTTGTCCGCACCATATCCGTGCTCGTGGCTTTCACCAAAGTGGTAAACGTCTGAGACCTGCATCACTTCGGGCTTTCCTCCCACATTAAGCTGACACGCCGCGATATAACTGGAATACTGTTAACAGCGGCGTTAAACCCAACTCACTCACTCATTTGAAGAGTGTATCATAATTGTCATTATGTCTTTTCTCATCAGCCATGTTTGATGCTGCAGGCATGACAGTCACCCATGACTTTTCAACTGTCACAGACGTTTCATTGGCTGCTGAAATAACAGGATGGAGGTCATAGTTGAGGCACTTGCATTACTTTCAAAACCCTGACAGTAATAGTCCGCATGTTGGCCTTGACCAGAGCCTCCATCTTGATGCAGACCTAGTGAATTGTGTGCGACAGTGTCAGCAAAACCGACAAATATACAGGTGTGTATATTATTCATAACTTAGTACTTATTTCTTATACAGTGCTTCACTGTGTATGGGTTTCGGACACTTTTTGCATTATATCATCAATATAACGGCGGGGGACAGCAGCATTGTTCCTCACCCAGTGTACCCATCCTTATACATTTCATGTAACTTGTATTACGTACACTAGCAATTGGTAACGCTGCTTCCACATTTCATTGTATGTGCATCATTTTGTATCCTGTAACACTGTATGCGCTTTTAATTTAAACAGGGATAAGGCCATTTGCGGGGATTTCTCCCGTAAGGGGACACCCCTGTCAAAGATAATGGTGAATCGCTAAAAATTGAGCACCGGACAAAAGAGGAACTGATGACCTTGGTGGAGGTCACATTGCAACATGTACAGGTATGAAGAGTGTACCTTTGATAACATAGTAATAATCGTTTTGTTCATAGATTACCCTAACTTTTGTATTATTTGGTATGTTTTGAATTCATATTGTTATATGTATATTAATATCGTACTTGTTTCAGGCTGGTGATGACATGCGCCGTCAATGGAAGGCAGTCCGCTCCGGCACAAAGGCAAAAATAATGGTCTTTTATAAAGATCTGCTGGATGTGGAGGCTGCCATGGAATGTGACGCTCCTTATGACGGTAAACACATATTGTATACTGAATAAATTACCAGTTAATTTCCGCTTGGAAAAGCTTTTGGCCCTGTCCTTTGGGTCTTCAATGTAAGCTTGTCCTCTAGGGCCCGTGTGGTGACCTTTTGATGTGGAGGACTTTTGGGCACCTGTCTTTTTCCATGTTGCCCTTACTTTTTGTCTTCATCTGTACTTTACTTTCCTTTTACATTCAGAAACAATGTTGTATTTTGAATGTGGCAATCATTTATTTTCATGTAGTTGCAGCTGGATGATGTTATACATCTGTCCATTTAAATGAGGGGGCACGGGTGGCCCAGTCGTCTAAGGCGCCGCGATTCGCTGTGCAGAGTTGCGTCCCTTGGACACGCCAGAAACCTATGATTGTGGGTTCGAATCCCGGTTCGCCCCGCTTATGTTTCTAGGTTTGTCAGCACCATGCCCGTGCTCGTGGGTTTCACCAAAGTTGTAAACGTCTGAGACCTGCAACACTTCGGGCTTTCCTCCCACATTAAGCTGACACGCCGTGATATAACTGTAATAATGTTAAAAGCGGCGTTAAACCCAACTCACTCACTCACTCATTTAAATGACTCTTTTCCTATGCAATTTAGTTATTTTACATCCCTAAATGATGACATGCGTGCAGGGTTGGTTTACTCCCCTGTCATTGTGTTCGAATTGTGCCCCTTTCGGTTCACCACAGTTCCTGACGACGAGTGCTCTTTCGCAGTTGGCGAGTGACATGAGCGGCCATCGTTTCCGGCAGGTTAGTGTGTGTTGAGAGGGGATATTAATGCCGTTCTGGTGTAAATTGTGAGTTGTATCGTAGCGTAATAGCAATGTGACAGGTTAGAGTTGTTGTACAACGCGTGAATGTCTGTTTCTAAATGTTTATCAACGCATGTACCGAGGCACATGTTCACGTCGGCATGTGTTGCATGGTGGAGAATGTAGTACCGTACTGATCAAAAGTGACTTACCATCTTGCGACGTTTTGTTCAGACGCCGCAAGGTGGATTTTTCACCTTTTTTTATAGGGGATAGTGGGTGCGTGTATTCACTCAATTGGGGGTGTTTCACTCAGGTGGGTCCATTTCCTTCATTTCAGGGGTTTCCCCAACCTGCTAAGAGCTACGTCAGCAACTCGCCTCTACCGTTCAGGTGTTTCGGAACAACTTATTTGTGAACAAACTGGTAATTTTCTCATCTCTTGATTTGCACATTACGATGTTGTAACAGTGAGTAAAAGTAACAAGTACTCTAAACTTTCAACGATAAGTATTGCAAGTTTATTAATTAACTATTAAAATTGCCTGTCTGTATTACCACTCTAAATACTGAACTGTACAGTTTGGAGAATGTATTTATGCAGCATGTATGTATAACTACTATTTAAATGCATTCTCACTTTGGAGGATTGGAATCTGTTGTAATAGATTGAATTTGGTTCTTCAGTTTAATACATTATTTAATTGAATTTCAGGTCACCGCAGTGAAGCAGTTCGGGTGTACAAGAGGTCTTCAGATGACCAAATGGCATCAGTTTCCGACCCGTTGTGCGTTGTCCCCGACAGAAAGAGAAAAGTTGATTCTGAACCAACTGCTCAAACTTCTGTACCAGAATCAAAAGTTTCTGATAACTGTGGAAAATGCAAAGACAAGCAGTATCCCTTAACTATTAATTTCAACCGAAATAAAGAATTGTTGAAAAAGTGGTTTATTTTGTTGTTGAAGGATTAAGAAAATCAGGTATCTGAAACGGGCTCCGATTTCTCGAAACAAACTTGAGAATTCTTCCTCAAAATTTTTCTGACTAAATTTCTCTACATGTTTCGAACAATAAAGTCTGATTTCAACCTATACTGTAACTTTGTACAAAATATCACACTGAAGCGTTCATGTGGGCTAAATTTGTTCATGTCGTAAATCCAGTTTTGACTGAAAACTTGGTTTGTTTCGAAATCTGTTTAAGGTTTTACTTTAAACAGTAAGACCCGATAAGAGGTCTTACTTTCAAAAGTAAGACCCGGTAATAAGTCTTACTTTTAAAAGTAAGACCTGCTACTGGGTCTTGCTTTTAAGAAGTAAAACCTCCAACTCAGCAAGAGGTCATTACATGAAATTCGAGTACCTCCAGTATAATGGGACTTATCAGTGATAGGTTTTTATCATCCAAAACTGGCTCCCACAGGAGATATCGCTTGGATGAGATCAAGCGATATCTACACTGTAGATATCGCTGCAAGGAAATTACATCACAATGCTTTGCAGACCATTGTGACGTCACTGGTTACAATGACGTCACAATCAAATGACATCACTAATGGCTCTGCTACTGAAGCTGTTTGCAGTACTTTTTACACTGAAAACACTGCTAATTACTGTCTACAAATTGAAAAAGTTGGAAGAATGATGTTGGATGATAAATAAAATCTCACCCTCGTGTCTTTTGATATCAAATATATCAACACTCGTTGATAAAAGTGCCAAAAATCCTCGGCAAGCCTCGGAATTTTTCCACTTTTATCTACTCGTGTTGATATATTTGATATCAAAAGACACTCGGGTGAGATTCTCTATATATTACTGGTTTAAGTTTGGGTTGTACTAACATTCAAAATCCCACAGCCTTGGTTTCCGGCAAGTTTTCTTAAAATATTTGACATATTGTGATTTAAAATAATTTTTACATATTAGGTTTCCTTGTAGTTTCCATTTGTCAGGTTTAAGATACACACTTACTAAACGCAATAAAACAATGCGATGGAAAAACAACCTACTTTGTTCAAAGGGTTAACCGATAATACGTTGATTGATTGCTCATTGTTATCTAACTTAATGGATTTTTTTAGGAACCTTGGACGTTATGAAAATAGTTGTCACGTGGGCTTTCTCAACCGAACTTCAAGACTTTACATCTATGTGAAACACCTGAAACAATCTAAGTGATCAGTTAAGAAATATAATATTATAATATCCCGAAATGATATATATATTTTAAAATATTTGATTGATACAGAGACACGTGACAACGAATAAGTTTCTTTGTACAGCTTTGTACAGGTTGTAATTATGATATTTATATTTTGTTTTCCTTCATTTGCTGTAGCATTGAACAGATTCAGTTTTGTTCCTCTACGTCGTGGTTGGAAATTCTTTGATGCGCGATAGACGGTTTCACAATTCTTTCCCTTTGTAAGCGTGTATATTTTACAGTCAATTTGTAAAATGTAATTCTCTCTGAAATATTTACACATTTTATAAATTTGTCCATTTTTTTAACAGATTGACTAAAAATGATTAAAACGATCAAAAGGGTCTATAAAATCACAAAAGATTATTATGTAGGTTAAGAAGCCAAACAGTAAACAACTGCGGTTTTTAATACCAACATTTTCAGTCAAATGTTTGGAATTCATTTCATAATAATACAGATGGACATATTTTTCTGTCAATTTGTAAAATAACTGAACATCTAGGCATTTAATAAATTTCCTAAGTGAAAATTTTGCACATTTTGACTGTAAAAATATAGACACGATAAAATAAGCAATGCTCAGGTAAAATATTTACTATATGTAAATAGCGTACACGAAAATCGCACAATTACCAAGCAAAACTTCGTCACCATTACCGATGCTACCCACAAAGATACCTACATTTCCTTATTATTTCCAAAACTGTATTTTGTTGATAAATGTGAGTGAGTTAAGAATTAACGTCACATCGGCAATATTTCAGCCATATAGTGACGAGATAAATTTATACAAGCAATAATAAATACATTTTGACTATATAAAAACCTTTCGACAAAGGACAGTAAATCAAACCAGACTATCACAGATATGAATATAAAACTAGCATTGAACTATAAAAAGATGTTAACAATATACAAGATATGATAAAAAGGGGCTATTGATCGCCAACCACTGACGATAGATCACCATACTGGGGGCACATACGGCAACACCCCGATGTGACGGATGTGGTTGCATTGTTGGAGTGCGAATTTAATAAAATGCAGAAAAGTCATAAACCATTATTGGAGTTCGTTAAAAACGCCCCCTCTCGACCTTAGAAATGTTTTTTTTTATGGGGGTCGTACAAACGGTGTCAACATGCACAGAAAGTGTTGTGAAGGCGAAACAATAAAGTACGTGGACGTTTGTACCCTATACCCGTACATATGCAAGTGACCGGGGTATAAGAAGCTTTATGTAGCTTGTGGCAACAATATGTGTACGCCCTTGTAAAATTGACATTAGTCTGCTAGCTCAAGGGTAATAAATTGTGCCGTAGACAAAGACTAGTAACATCTGATAGCAATAACTCGTAGACAGTTGCCCATGCTTGGATTTCACTCCAGGACTTGCTACAGACTTGAGGACGAGGGATATTAGTTTGGTGAAAGTCCTGTGGACTAGTCCTAAATGAAATGGGTTTTCTAAGGTTGGATATATCAGTCATCTTATCATCATTGTATCACAATTGTGTGGATCATGCTCATGATGTCAACCACTGGATTGTCTGGCCCAGACTTTATTTTCAGGTGGTTGTCATATAGCTGCATCTAAACACACACGCACTCATCCTTGAAGTCGGTGCGGTGTTGAGGTGAGGTGAGCGTCCAATATTATTGCACTTATATAGCGACGTGAACGAACGTGCGTGCGTGCGTGCGTGCGTGCGCGCGTGTGTGCGTGCGCAAGCAGGCACGCACGTTCGTTCACGTCGCTATATAAGTGCAATAATGGTGCGTGCGTGCGTGCGTTCGGCTGCTTGTACTAGTCCGGACTGATGCTGATTTATAGTGCTAGCACACTGAGATACCATGCCGCAGTTTAACATGAATACCCCACTCAGACACAGTATACTGACTCCGAGCAGACCAGTCCTTGTTTAAGCCCCTTTATGCCGAGCGCCAGACAGGGTAACAACAAGTACCATCTTCTAATGTCTTTTGGTATGAGGCGCCGGGGGATCGAACCCCGGACCTTCCGCTCTCCGGGCGGACGCTCTCCCACTAGACCACGGAGGCGCTCAGAAGTCATAAGCAACAAATGTTATGTTTGGAATAACACATTCTTAGTAAAGTACATATTCTAGTACGTTCTTTGGTTGAGTCCCATCCAAATTTCCAAATCCAAATTTGATCTAGACTACCAGTTGTCAGACTTCCATTTCGTGGAAGCATATGTGGTTGAGAGGGTTAGATTGCTAGCTGTGTGATGTCAAATAGGTGCCTCACTCTGAGAGCGGGTTTGAATCCCAGAACGGACTCAACCCCCAACAGATCTAGAATCCTTACTTTTATTGAGAAAGTGTTATCCGAAATATAACTTTTGTTAAATAAAGAAGTTGTTGTTCATAAAAGCTTGATGTCTTCTTGAAAATATGGTATGAATAAAATATGTACGAAAGATATCAGTGTTATGTTGTGTGTCAAAAGATGTGTCCACAGAAGATTTACCTGTCTGTCTGTGAGTTTGGTTTGTCGGAGAGTAATTCAGCTGTACAAATAGGTTTTGTATCACATGTCATTAATGGTGCTGAGTTCTGTTCTATTTCAAATCGATTGATGCTCATTCGAAGACTTAGTCTGAATACGAGCATCTATTTCAGAAAGGTGCGAGTTTGGCCGATTGTCAAAGAATGTCTTAATCCCAAAAGGAGCAGAGCATTATCCTGCATCACTGGGATTTTTAAGTCCAAACTAGAAGTAATAACACTCGTGTCATGTGAAGAAATTCCCGTAGAAATAGTCACGTTATGAGTAAGAATATGGCTTCCGTAAGAATATATTGATGTCGGTCTCTTACCACACGACAGAGTAACGCAGCACTGTAGCTCACCTGGGTCTGTTGTCAACAGATATTGCGGTCACCATTGCTGTTCCAATATTTTCTGCATAAATACTGAGGCTAAGACTATAAGGAAACATGAAATAAGTATCTCAACTTTCACAATAGCCACACGTGACTGGCCACACCCGCTCCTCCAGGAAGCGTTCCCTCCCCGGCCCCTTATACCACGTAGGGAGGGGGAAACATGTTTATGTTTTCTCACATCAAAATACTACCTTTTGATTGGTTAAGGAGGTGGCAATTATTTTCCATGTAGCCCGAACATGTATCGAGTGAGAAATCAATCGGAACACATCTTGGGTAACATTCTTATCTCGCATACACATCTTTGAGATTCTAAATGAACCCATGAACTGACCAGGTACATAGGCTCATACACAGGGTACATCACAACATACCCCTCGGGATCTGGGTACATAGGTTCACACACAGGGTACATCACACGATATACCCCTCGGGATCTGGGTACATAGGCTCACACACAGGGTACATCACACGATATACCCCTCGAGATCGGGGTACATAGGTTCACACACAGGGTACATCACACGATATACCCCTCGGGATCGGGGTACATAGGCTCACACACAGGGTACATCACACGATATACGGCACTCGTGAAGAGCAACCTCCTCGTGGTGAGTGCTGGGTAGCGCTAATAGCTCTTCCCCCGTGTGGAACCGGGGTAGAATAATTCCACAGCACCCCATTGCTGGTCGTAAAAGGCGACCAAAGTGGGCAGCCCGTTTGCCGTGGGTTGCGTCCCTGTGTCGGCGGAGGACGGGAGTCGGGTGGTTGAGGGCACTGGTTCCAGGAATA